AACACAGCGCCTGCCCCACCGCCCCCACACATCCCATCCCCCACACCACCTGTTCCCGACTCCTGGAACCCAACCGAGCAACATTGGGACTCCAACACCCTGCACGGCCACCAACTACATCGTACAATTCAACCCACCCAGTGGTCTCGAAAAGCAGGAGTGGCCGGCCTCCCCACCTTTGAGGTTTTCCCGTGGCAATTGGCTTACCACGGTACCTCGCCCGTACCCTGAGCAACGGCAAATTCACAGGTTTCATTGCCACCAGCAGCATAGCGGAGTCGGTCTTCGTGACCCATTTTCTCCAACAACTCCGCGAGAACCGCCTTGACCTTGACGGCATCGCGGAAGCTCTCCACACTCAACAGAGCACAGACATTCCCAACAAAACTACCCATGCCCGAGCTTTTCACGCTCCCCTCATCAAACTGCTTATCGACCAACTGCAAACCCACTCTCCAGCACCTGCGGAAGGCTCCGCCCTACGCGCCCTCAAGAACACCAATGACGAACTGGCTCGTGCACGTCAGAAACTCCACGACTTGGGCAACCCACTCACACCAGTCAAGAACACCAGCCGATCTTCCGCACCAGCCGCCCCTTCTCACGCACCCACGCCACCACCACCGAAACCACCAGCCATCACCGACGTCTTGCAACCACCACACCCCACGCTGCAAGACGATATCCCCGAAGGCTGGAACCACCCAGAGATCCAACAATGGGTCACTACCTTCGACCCCACCATCCAAGAAGCTGCGACGGAAGTCATCCGACTGCTGCAAACAAGCAAAGTCACCACGCAGCAGCTAAAAGAAGCAGCCACCAAGTATGGCCTACCCCTCAACCGGGTCAACCGACTCCCCATTCGCAGCCTACAACAGCTGGTGGGAGTCGGAGCAGCCATTGGTTGCTGACTCGCCATCTTGGCCCAGCAGCAACCCAGCCACACCAACCTCACCCAACTCTTCCACCTGCACCGAGCACTTTCCATGCTCATCCACCGCACCCAATACATCGACCGCGCCGAGGCCATCTTTGCAACCGGCCTCATCCACATCACCCTCCTTTTCGCATACCCGTCCAACACCCGTCGCTCACAACAATGGCGCAACCGCCTCCGCCAGCTCCACATTTTACCCCACACCTACCACTACCACAACTTCCTCTCTTCCAATTCCGTCTACATCAAGCTCCACTTCAATCCCGACCAGCCCCAACGCTGCTACCATCAACATGGCCACTTCTACGTTGGCTCCACAGCTATCGGCATCCCCCACCGCGAGCACAATCGCCGCGCCAAACTAAAACAACTCCAAAATAACATTCCCATTTCTGCAGAACTCTCCTTACGTTATTGGCATTCACACAACAACATCCACCACTACACCACTATTCAACTCACCTCCCATGACACATACGACCAAGCCTGGATCCAAGAGCACCATTACATCGCCAACTGGATGCCTTCACTCAACTGGCCTTTCATTTCCCACCACCTCAAACTCAAAGCTCAGGGATGGCAGTTCGCGAAACACAGAGCCCACTTCTACTCCAGATTAGCCACCCACAAACGACTTTTCCGACGCCTTCGACAACGCCAGTACACCCTCAGAGAACCACACCTCTACACTTCCACTAAGCATCACGCCCTCCAACTTCTTCGCAACCTTACCAAACACACCGCAGCCTCTTTTGAGGCAGCAAAACAGCTAAGAAGCGGCCGCCACACGGACCTCGAGGTGTATGCAATCCGGCGTATGGCCGCAAACTTGGAAGAACCTGGCCGCAGCCGAGCTCTTCACATCCTCAACAAAGCCTTGATCTACCGCAACCTCACGCCACCAAAACCAAACATCCCATTGACAGTGCCCTTCTTGGCCCATGACGACTTTACCAAGCACTGCCAACAATGGCTCCGTACTACCATCCAGCAGCACAAGCATTTCACCATTCCCCTCCACCTCCCCTCCCACAGACTGAGGGAAGCCGCCCACAAAACCCTCCGCTCCCACCTGCACAACCATCGCCCATGGGAGGACACCCTCCACTCCCCGCCAGATCCAGCAGACCTCCCCTGCGCATGCGATCACCTTCGCACCCTCCTGCAGGATCCCGATACCCCTACCATCAACGGCCACTACATCCTTACACTTGACCAACTCCAACTCCCTACACACCTCAGCATTTTCCTCAACGCCAATATGAACAGTACCTATTACCCAAGCAAAGCTCGTTACTTCCTCATTTTCAAGACAGCCTACACCAAATGGCTCAAACTACAGGGGCTTCCACCATCCCTAGTTCAACACCTACAGCCTTTCCTTGAGCACCAATGGCGCCTTCACAACACACACCTCAAGCAGCAACCCCGTTTTACGGCCCGCCTGCTTCGTCAACTCCAAGAACATTTGGGTAAACACACATTACTCCACCATGCCGATCATGAGCTCCAACAACTGCGACTGTTTTGCCCTCGCCAATACTTCACTGGCGCCTTGAACACCTGGCAATCCCCCGAACTATTTGAACCACTTCCCTACATCACTGCCGCCAACATCCATGACCACCTGGCCGCCACCGTCCCCCCCATCCTGCGCACCCGCTACAAGTGGGGCTTCCGAAAAGACTTCAACATCCCCTACGGGGTTGTCCACCTTAAAGAGAAGAAGCACTGGCAAAAAGGCCGTACAATTATATCCTACTTCCAATCACTAAGCGGCAACTTGCTACGCATCACCAGCCGTGCCCTCGACATTATCCTCCAACACCTCTACCCTCAGCATCCAGGCCAAATGTCCATTCCTCAGCTTTGGCATCACTTTCACAGTTACCTCACCCAAACTCCACCCGACATCTCACTACACGCCACCAACGATGACCTGGTCGGCTTTTTCAACTCCGTCCCCCAGCACCGACTCATCGATGCAGTCCACTCCCTTGTTCTCCACTGGCAACAACAGCAATCCACACACACCTTAACGGTGGATGTCCAGGCCACCGGCAATCCTTTCCACCACTCCCACATTGGCAGACACCATCGCAAACACCCTACCCAACGCACCATCCAGACTTCCGACATCACCACCATTGTGGCTTTTGCCCTCGACACATGCATTTTCCGGGCTTGCAACAACACTTACAAACAAATCCGAGGGGCCGGGATTGGACCCCAGCTCTCTCCAGCCCTATGCAACGTTGCTATCACCCTCATTGAGCACTCCTGGCATCAGATACACAACAACCTCCTTCAACACACAGACCTCCACTTTACTTACTATCGCTATGTTGACAACCGTTTCATTGTCCACAACGAACATTTCCTTCAGCACCCGGCTATCCAAACCCTTATCCACCACAATTTCTTTGGCGACCCTGTGGAACTCGAACCGGTGGAGGATTTTCATCTCCTCGGTTTCAACATCGACCTCCCACAACGCACTATCACCTACATGCAACCTTCCCAACCCTGGAAAATCCGGGACTCCACAACCGCCGGGAGCCAGCGCTTGGCTCTATCAGGCCTCCAATCACGACTCCACACCATTCGAAAATACACATTTCCACCCTCCAGCGCTGACGCTGCTGCGGCTGAACTCGTGAACCTATATGTCCAAAAGGGGCATAACTACCACGCCTGCCACCGGTTTTTGAAAAAAGCGCCGAATGCGGCGACCTGTGTGTGTTGTATGCTGGACAAAGGGTCTTTCACCACCACCCTTTCCATTTTACACAGGCA